ACATGGAGTTATACACGTTTAAAAGTGTAGAATATTGTTATAAAGTGGTGGTATTTAAATTAGAAGAGTCGTGGAATCGATAGAGGTTGAAATCGCCGGAAACCGCCACTTAAAGGAAGCTGTTCGTAGTTGCAGACCACGAAAGCCGCCCAACGTTTGCAAAAGCCGGCCGGCGTTCGTCTGCTGTCCAGGATTTCCATCTCCAATCATCTTAGAACGGGTAATGATCGAAGGGCTTAACAAAGGCAACTATTGCAGCACTTCATAAGGTGAGGATGACCGACTATATTGTTTATAATTAGTGAGTTAATTTCATGAGATTACCTAAGGTAATTAAATATGTTTTTAAGGATTATTAATGACTAATAATGCCTATGAATGAGAAAACTATTGTCTATAAGGAGAAGGAGCATAATATACAAATTTAAGAATAAATTGTGTATGATTATGTGTTATGAACATGTTGGCTTGATAAAGGAATTAACTATAAACTTTATGTTGAAATATAATTTTTACTTCATATAAGAGTATATGAGTGATTAAAAGTTATATTTTGTATAATGATGTGAACTATATTTTCAATAGAAAATTAGTTTGGAATTTTTCTATATGACTTTGAATTGAAAAGTTGTTTTGCTGGAATTTATCCGACTAGTATTAAGATACTAGTCGGGGTATTGGGATGAGAATATGTTAGAATTGATCCAAAGATTGGATTGTGAAATGTGAGCCTTAAGTAGTCTTAAGAGATACTAAGGTGGATAAGTATGAACTCTAAGTGATACTAGGGTAGGCCTTAAGGGATGCCCAAGATAAAGTGAATAATAAATTGATCCTAGATGTAGGATTGGCCTACGGGTGTATTTAGGTAGTCCTTGAGGATAGCCGGTTGAATATTGGTAAATAGTAAGGACCATGGCCCTTCCCGACTCTAGAGAGCGGGGTCGGGTAGCATGGACTTACTACATCGTGATCACGGGTTAGGGTGGAATCCGAACCGGAGACCTTACGAGGCTCTCGACAGCGGTAACACTTAAGATAGGACCCCGAATGGACCTTACCTTCCTATGGGATGATGGGTAAGAGTCCAGGGGCGGAATGTTGGACTCCGGCCCGAGGGCCCGATGAGGCCTCAGATAACGGTGACAAGTCTCGTAAAGGATGATAAGACCTACGGGCGGTGTCGCGCTAACGATGAGTATAATGAAATATAAAAGGGGGCCGCGTGCCGACAAATTAATTAATCAACTTATTACGAAGATAATAAGGGTTAAAGAAGGACTATCATTATGTTATCATATCACTCTATTTGAGGGTCTTAGAAATTGAAACATTGATTATACTTAGTATAGTTGTCATTGTACTTGTCAAATGCTTCCAAGTACTGACCTCCCCTTCACGGGGGAGGCCACCTCACAGTTTTCAGGTAGGAGTTGAGCTTGCTACCAGTGCCCGTTGCTTCAGGAAAATCAAGGAAGGAAGACATGGTTCGTACTTCCTCCGCCTCTGTTTTAAAAACATTTAAATTAATGCTCATGGATATTATTTTTGAGGGGGCTTGTATGCCCATGTTTGCCAAAGTGTGGCATGAACACTTGTATTAAATGTTTCTGCTGCTTTAAATGAATATTTTACATTATGTTTGTTTATGGATGTACTATGTGTGAATGGTATTCAAGACGCCTTGTATAGTATGGATGTGTTGGACTGCGGTTGACTATTCGTACTGTACGGCGGGTTGTTGACGTGCCCGGTAGGTCCGGGGCGTGACATGAGCGACCAAGCATAAAACTGAATTGATTCTTTGAAATCTTCACAGTTCTTCGAAGTCTTTGCTCAATCACTCTCTCCCAAAGTTTCATGGTGTGACTCATAAGCTTAATCCCTCGATAGTTGGCTCATTCTTGTACATCACCTTTATTCTTGAATAAGGGGATAAGAGTGCTCTTCCTCCAACTCATTGACATCTTGTTGTTTCTCCAAATCATGTTGAAGAAATTTGTTGACCACTCAACATCTCTCTCTCTCCCAAACTTCTCCAAGCCTCGATCGGTATGCCATCAGGACCCACTGATTTCTTCTGCCCATCTTCCCCAGAGCCTCTTTAACTTCCGTTGTTTGGATCATTCTCACAAAATAATCACGATTTACCATACAATATGGTATGTTCAAATCACCGATATCTTATGCTTTGTTCCCGTTGAATAGTGTATCAAAGTATGACCTCCACCTCTCTTTTATCTCCCCGTCCTCCATTAGTACCCTAAGCGGTATGTTTTTCAATAATTTATTTAATTGAATTCCTGGTCAAAGTTGTTGATAAACTTTTGTGGAGATGTTCTACACTTCATGATGAACATACTCACAAAAATTTAACAAAAAATTCGAGCCGGAAATCCTTCAAACGGGCCCTGCCTCACGGTGGTTTTCGTGAATCCGGACTACCAAATCATTCCTCATACCTCTATGAAGCAAAATAGCAAAATACGTCATTCATAAAATTAAAACGTTAATTCACAACTACTTATGGCGCATTTTCATATGTTGAAAATGTTGTGCAATTTTTTCTTTGTTAACACTTTTAAATATATCTTTTTCAATAGAAGTAACTAAAACATCATTCATCAAAGCATCTTCCATTCGATTGTGCAATCGGTTCTTCTGTAATTCCGCCGTTCCTTCTTGCTGCAATTTGGAGTTGGACTGTTGGAGAAAGAGTTGTGCTGCCCAAACTTTTCTTTTGGCATGACTTTTCGATTTTTTAAAGTTAGTGTCCAACTTTTAAAATATATACATTGATACTAAAATATAGATAAAATTCATAAATAGTACTACCAATATTTTATTCCCAGAATAGGGCTCAATAACTCCTATTTCGAGAAGTTTTATTCAAGTTATTCTTTAAAAAAGACTAAATAAATCTTTTTTGGAGAATAAAATATACTTAATCCTATTTTAAATGGTGGTGTCAATTTTAAGTTTTGAAAGATTACATATAACTATATGTAGATTATTTTTTCAGTGGTGTCAATTTTAAAATTTTAAAAAATTATATATACCTATATATGAAAAAAAAATTCAAATAGGTGGCTCCGTCCCTGCATACCAAGGGAGAAAGTGGAAATTACAAATACATCTTTGAATTACATGTTACAGAATAATATATTTGAACAATATTTTCCAAACTTAACAATAAGGGAAATCGTCCTAAATAGGAGCAAATGAGGTTTGAAATTTCAAAATAGGACTAATATGTTTTTTTGGTCAAAATAGGAGTTGTTACTGCCATGTATAAAAAATTGTCATGATTGAAAAATACTATCATTGATTATAATAAGGGAAAATAATGATTACCCCCTTGAGGTTAGGTGATAATTATTAAATCAACCTTATATTTTTAGAACTGAATCATTTACCCCTTAAACTTTTATTAAAGTTAGAATATCCCCCTTTTGTTAAATTTAAGTTGCTTGGACCGTTAATTGTAAGCGGAATTCCCAAAAATGTCCTTATTTATTAAACTAAACTAAGGAGTGGTATAAAATAAGAGTACATCAACTGAAAGTTTCACAGGCTTACTCCAAAAGTATTCGAACAAGAAAATAATGTTTTCCCAAGCATCATTGCAGCACACTTGAAAGTGCTTTGTGTCTTTCTGTTTTTCTTCTTTTCTGCTCCAATTTCAATTCCCAGTTGCTATCCCATTCGTACATCAAAGGAAAATTCGCCCGACTGTGTATTTAAAGTAGGGGTGGGCAAAAATACTGAACCGGCATGGTGTCAAACCAGCCAGATATGGTACCGGACTGAAAAACAGAACTTGAAAGGTATCTCAATTTTTGTCGCGAACCAGACCGTACCGGTTCTAAAGAATGTCATGACCGGTTAAAATTTGTACTACTATAGTTTAGCTGAAATTTAATTATTATGTATTACGGAGTATGAAAATTGATAAATTATGTGGATTTTTATAGGATGACTAAACTTTAATTTCCAGTTAAACACTTGGAAAAGTGACATTGTTTGGTATTAGTATGATATGGTATCGTTCCATTTGAAAATAGAACCGTACTAAATGGGTTTAGGACTAAGATCGCACCGAACATTTTCAATAGTCACGATACGGGTACGAGTTCGGCAAAATACCAGACTGGATTGGATCGGACCGACCCCCCTAATTTAAAAAAAAAACGTAGATGAGAGGATTTAACAAATAATCCCTAAACAAGGGTATTTTAGTTAAAGAAATAGGCATTTGATGAAAATGTTGATAGAAGGGGGAGATTACAACATTAATCGTAGTTGAGGGGGTAAATAGTTGACTTTTAAAAATATAAGGTTGAACTAATAATTATGATCAAACTAGAAGGGGGGATCATAAATTTCCCTTATAATAAATACTGCCAGGTTAAATGCGTTGACTGCAACTATTTGAAGTCACGCCTATAACATGACAATAAATACCACCATGTTGATCCTATTTCGGGAATAAAAACATAATAATACTATTTTGGAATTCCATAATCCATTTACTACTACTTTGAGAAATCTCCCTAGCAATAATTACTCATATTTTAAGATTTAAAAAATGACATTCCTAATTTGGATTTTTTGAGAATTTCCAAAAAAAAAACGGAAACCGAAACAATTACTAAGGGAGTGTTTGCAATTGCTTCAACTTTAAAAAAGTGATTTTTTAAAGTGATTTTGGGAAAAGTGATTAATAGTAAAAGTTGGTAGTGTTTGAGAAAAAAGTGATTCTGGAAAAGTAAAAGTTGGTAGTGTTTGGTAAAATAAGTACTTTTTGTGTAATAGAAAAAGTGAGAAGCAGTTTAAAGCACCCTTCTACCTGCTTCCAGCTTTTAGTTTTTAAGTGATTAATTTAAGCAGAAACTGTCATTTGAAAACACTCTTTTCGACTTTTTTTAAGTCAAAAGCTGAAAAATACTTTTTTTTAAGCAAACCCAAACACTCTTTAACAGGCCCTAAAACGCCCTTTTACCTCTGGCCGATATAATTTGAAATTGGTGTAACCACCGCACCTTTCTTGCTAAGATATTACCTCTGGCCGATTATAGTCCAGGGTTTCGAATTCCAATCTCATTAATCTCGTACTGCTGGTTACTCACGACGAAGTTTAAGTTATTTCTGTAGCCAAGGTAGTCCTCCTTCTCCAATTGTTTTTCGTTTTCCAGTGCTTGGTTTGTGTTATTTGCGTAATTTTAGGCTGAACTCTTGAATTCATATCCAAAAAACAGATTTTGTATACAAAGAGAGGAAAGGAATACCTCAAATAAATAGTAGTATATGTTAATGATTTCAGCTGCGGCATTCTGCTAGCGCTGCAACCTTAACAGTTTAACACTTTCACTACCCCTATGGGATTATAGATGAAGAACTGCGATTGTGAATTAGATTTTTCGTTTAGGACTGAGATTGTTCAGAGTACCACATTGAAAGATTTAATAAAAACATATATAAGTTTATAATATATTGGACTAGATTATCTAATCTGAGTATCTGGGACTTCTTATTTTATCTATTGTAACATTATCTCGATAATATTTCACTTATTCTAGGTATCATGGCATTTTTTTGAAACAGAACAATACACATTCCTATGTTATACTCTGAACTTACCTTCTAGATGGTAATCATTACCTAAGATGGACAGTGTTTGAACTTTGAACCATCAGCCCCTTCTTGTTCATATTGGAACATAGTCCCAAACAGCATATATTCACTCTCAAGTCTCAAACTCCAGTAGCTGCTCTCATAACTCCGTGTATTCTCCAAAAAATATCATCTTCTCTATTTATTGGTGCGGTTTCTCCTACTGTACGACAGTCGTAAGTCGCAATTTGTACGGGATGTAGCCTTCGATTTCTATGTTTTTCTTCTCAATCGATTTCATGTGAATAATAGAATAAAAAGGAATAACATTTATCTGTTTACAAGTGCTTTCCTTTAATTTCTTTTCTATTAATTTTACAAGGTTATTTTTTCAATGAGTTTGTAAACAATGACTTCAATTGGGATGTATATGATGATATTTTCTATGATTATGAATAATGTTTATCCTTAAGTTTGCATTATGTACAACTGATTTTATACATAAGCATCACTTTTTGTGAGAGAGAAAGGATTCACTCGGTCATTTTGCTTTTAAGTAAAACCCTCACGTCTTTGCTGTTGTGCACTTTTTTCATTTTGAAAAAGTTTGGTAAAATGATCTAGTTAAGTGATTACCAACCTGACCCTGATATATGTGAGGGTTTTCATCCCTCATAACAGGAAATTACTTATTGTCCTACAGCTAATTTTAGTATACAGGGAATTATCTTTTAATTTATGCTGAAAACAATTTCTTTCAGTAGTGTGTATGTGTGTTTGTGTGTGTGTGTGTATTTAATATGCTATCAATCTGTTCTCTTGTCTTTTGGATGGTCTTGTCATCATATTTCTGATTCGTGGTTCTCGTTTGCCATGTGATACCATTGTTTAAAGAATGGAACACTCAAATGATGAAAGTAGAAAAGAGAGTGTTACAGATTTGAAAGATCATTGCAGCATCGTCTTTCCTATACCATCACAAGACACTGGATTGACAAAGAACCAACAACGTTTAGGAACAAGTTTTGCATCTCCAACACCAGAGAAAACGGCTGAGACACTGTCCCGTACTGTTAAGCTCAAAAAGAATATTTCTGAACTTCCCGAGAAGTATGGCGCTAATCAGTTACTCTTTATTTTGTGTGTTGTTTCATGAATAATCATGCTGAGATGCAGAAGTGTTTGTTTGAATCTACTCAGTTTCAGGTCCTTGTCTGAGTTTTTTGATCGCATGGTGTGTTCGATGAGATTGCTTAGTCTACGTAAAATGTCACCTACTTTTAAACACATTTCCAGTCAAGTGGAAGTCCTAACAGGAAGGTAGCTTCGTCGCTCACTTTTTCTTATACCCATATAAGAGTAGTAAACCACATTAGGCTTTTAATAATTTTTTTTATTGTTTTTTTTGGGGTGGGGGGTGGGGTGGGGTGGGAGAAGCTGGCTTACATGTTGAGTTTTATTGACTATTTATTTAAGAAGGTATACACTGATGCCCGTCAATATTTTCTTAAACAAACCTAATACTACCTCCGTCCCGTTCAAAGGTTCCCATTGCAAAACGACGCGGTTATTAAGAGTTTAGACAATAATTACATACGGTAATTTGGGTATATTTTTGAGAAATAATTTTGATAGGCATATAATATAATGAGGTTAATGGTGGTAACTGTGATGTTATAGATGTATTATTTTTAATATTTGATTATTAATTTGTCATTTAAGATTGTTAATTGTTTCCTAAAATAGAAATAAGAACCTTTATATGGGACGTCCAAAAAAGGAAAGTGAGAACCTTTGTATGGGACAGAGAGAGTATCTTTTTTTGGTCGCTTGTTATAGTGCTAATACAGTAAAACAAGTGCTGATACAGTCATACATCTTATTAATTTATTTTTCTTTTAATACCAGAAAGTTTCTCTATGCCAATATCTTTTGGGACTAAGGCTTGAATCTTGTTGTTGTACCAGAAAGTTTCTCTATGGGCACCTTGCAAAAATAATGTACATAGTTCCTGAAGTGGTTCATATTGATAAATCACTTGTGCATGACGAGAAGACATGTTGCATGAAGCCTGATATTAAAGTTACATTGCATCTTGATGCTTTGGAAGACCACCATGAACAGTCAATATTTATCCATGTCACCAATGTTTTCCAAGCCAAGCTCATTGACTTATTTGCTAAACACTCGGAGGTAATTTTTCACATTATACCTTTTCCCTTTGAGGGGGGGGGGGGGGGGGGGTTGGCGCACCGGTAAAGGTGTTGCTGTGTGCCTGTGTGACTGAGAGGTCCAGGTTCAAGTCTTGGCAGCGGCCATTTGTCAAAATTTGACAAGGGAAGGCTGCCCTTTTTTATTATATGTTGTCCCTTTGTCAATGTCTTCCATAATGTGATTTCTGCACCAAAAAGTTTTTCCTACCAGGACCGGCTTTTTACGAAAGATGTTGATTTTTTACTTTATTCCTTTTATAGCTTAAAAGAGAGTGGCGCTCAGCAACCATTTTGTAGCTTTCATCTCTTATAGTTCTTTTATAGCTAAAGCAGCCCTTATTTTGCTTTCATCTCTAATCAGGGCACTGACATTCCGGAAGCTGTACTGCCAGACCCATTTAATGGACGCACTCTCACTGTGCAACCAGATTCAATGCTAGTCACTACTATGTCATCGCCCCCGTTGGAAGAAATTGAACAATTGGAGTCATCATCCCATCTCGCACCATCTTTTAGTTCACACTTCTCTCTCAAGACTGTTGTTCCGGAAGAAAAGAAATCCGAACTTTTAACCACTTCTATTTCTTCATTTATTGATGATAATGCTGAGACGACTCTTAAAACTGAAAGTGAAAGTTTAGGTACTCTCAAAAGCTCCACAGTTAAGGACTCTGTCCAACAGCTTTCTGCTGGTAGCTCCAAAGTGTGTGAAGGCAGCACTCCGGTAAAGCTTTGCTTAGAAAGTGCAAGTGATAAGTTATGTGTTGAAACACCCGCACAGTCCGCTCCACAGAGATCAGCATCTGCTATTACTGCGAAAAGATCACTTATGGATGATTTGGAATGGTCTGAAACTGCTAAATCTTTCTTCCCTGAAAAAGGCGAAATCAAGGGTCGTACATTTCCCCGTGGCAATGTCATAGCAAGTGAAGAAGCATATCCATCCCGGGAGGTACCTTTTATAAATAATACTCCCTCTGTCCCACTATGATTGTCCCATTTTACCTTTTCGGGAAGTCCCACTAAGATTGTCCCATACCATATTTGGTAAATATTGTGTGGCTCTAAATCATTCTAACTTTATTCTTACTTTATCAATTTAATATCAACCACACAAACCTACTTTTCTTAATAAGCGTGCCACCTTCTCTCGTCCCAATCTTAGTGGGACGGAGGTAGTAAGTTAATAATTGTTTCCTTATATAGTTTTTATGGAGAACATTGGCTGCTTTTGTGGATTGAGCCAGATATTACGTAGCTTTCACTACCCCATATGAAAAAAACTGTCTTTTTACTCTTCACACGTTGCAATTCATGAGTTATATATGAAATGTGTAAAATATTATTTACTTGGAACAGTGATTAATACATTTCATGAGTTTATTACGGAGTATTTAGTATTTCTGTTTATACTTGTATGCATTTATTTTAATATGTATATATATGGTTTACACATATTTATATTGTACTTGTGTATTATATATTTATATATTTATATGATATAGTTAACGTTTATATATAATAATTCCATGCTTCACCTACTCCCTCTGTCCCATTGTGTTGGGGCAAAAAAAAGTGGTGGTTGACTAAGGAAAAGGGAATCATGCAGTTTACGTTGAATTTGTGTGACTTTTCCCTAGTCACATAAATGTTGATATATATGGATTACGGAGTATGGTCTGAGGCAAGCTTTGTGAGACGGAGGGAGTATATTATATCTACAGCTCTACACACTCCTCTACTTTCTTGGCATGCTGACAATTTGTTGTTTCTTTCAGCCCGAGGAAAGTAATTTGCTTTCTGGCAAAGATGTGGAATGCTTACCTCTGCCACAGCAAAGATACGTTGATTTGCCCAAACTTGTGCGCTTAATTCACAACATTTTTGAGTTGGTTGGCCGTTGTTCAATGACTAAAGAAGAACTCTTTCACAAGATCATAATGGTTGACTGTGACATAGATGAAACCAGTATGTCAAATAAGCTATTGATTATTTTTCATCATTATTGTTATTATTATTGTTGTTAGTGTTGTTGTCATTATTATTATTTTTATTGATATTATTTTCAAAAGGTCTCGTGGTTATTATTATCTGTGATGTACGTACATCCTATTAAAATCCGTAAAATTGTTACTAATTTTAGGTGACATTGAAAGACAGATAGCTCTTCTTGAGAAACTTGTTCCAGATTGGATTTGCAAGAAGGGTGAGCCTAGTGGAGGCTTTTTGTACAGGTTAAGATGTTTCTCCTGGTCTCAATGCTGACATGTTGACTTTGGGTGTGTGTGGGTATTGTACATTGAGTTCACACTTTTATACAAGTCCATGGAATTTAAAAAAACCAAGTTGTATTCAAGCTTTTACCTATTCATAAAAACTTAGTTGGATTCAATTGAGATTTTAGAAATCATTAATGCATGTGACAATTTGCCAATGAGCTTAATCAAACCCTTCATTCAAACAGACCCTAAGAGTTTGTTCTAGCCGTTGTGGACCCCATGATGTCTGCACTATCCAACACATATTGGTGGTATTTGCTGACTCTGTGTGTGTGTTAATTTCATGCAGTATCAAGAGTGTCTCAGACTTGGATTCTGTTTGTGGAAGGCTGAGCAGCTCATAACAACACTTCGTCTCAAGGTTGTCAGTTTGTCACTAACAAAACAATGCACGCATGCCGCATGTGCTAAAAATTAAATGCATTGTTCTACTATATATATGTGTGTGCAATTTTATCATATATGCATACATACTACATATACAAATTTCTGGTTAGGACAAATGACTGTTAGATTGCGTCAGAGATTCAAACTTTTTCTCTTTAGTATGAAGTACATATTTCCACAATTAAATACGGAGTATCATTTTAACAAAGATAGTCATGATCGTTTGTGAAGTTGAATCGTTGCGATAATGTCAACGGTTGACATGATAAAGGGACTTCTCTATGCTCAGAAAAATCGGAATCCTTGAAATTAGAAGTCTACAGGCCAGTTCTTGTTTGGGGCCAGCTGCTTCTTGTTCACGGACTGCAACCTGTAATATTGGTCTGAACTTTGATCGGTCCCAGTCCGGTTCCGGTCCCGGACTTGGTCACGAAAGCTTGAATAGTTTTCCCGGACTTGAAAACTAGAATCTGGAATGACGTGTCACACTATCACTTATTGTTTTGGAGGAAATGGAATTAGACATCTTGTTTATGGTACTGCCGTGCTGGTGGCCAGATTGGGTCAAACGGTTCGAATTGTCCTGTGAGACCCGGCCAGTTCTAATAGGGACTGATTGACTGAATATGTGTAATTGTGCATGTTGTTGTAGTGTGAGAGAGGTTTTGTGAAAATCCTTCCAATAATTACAACATTTATTAAATAAAACTTTAAATCTTTATTTTCTAATAGTCAATGGCTAATTTTGACTGGTTGTACTTTTGTAATTATTTGAGAATAATTGTAAGAAAACCCCTTTTCAATTTAGGATAATTGACTAATAATAATTGGAAAAAATGAAATAACTGAGATTAAAAGTAGTTTCAAGTAGGGGTGGGTTCGGTTCTTTCGGTTTGGTTTTTACCTAAAACCTAATATGGAACCAAAGTAAAAGTTCGGTTTCGGTTCGGTTTTACACTCCAAAACTCGGAACCACGGTTTGATTGGTTCGGTTTGTTTCGGTTCGGTTTCAGTTCTTTCGGTTTTTTACCAAAAATTTGTCATTTGATTTAAAATTGATATAATAGTTGGAGGGATCAAACATATTACATAAAAAAAATACAAGCATACTAGAATAAATGAAGTAAAAATAAGAATAAAAAAACATGTCTTGAATTATATGAGTATGCAGGAGAGATATAGGTGTATATATTCTTAATTTACATTGTTTGTGACTAGTTTGAAAAAAGTTCATGAATACATACATCATATGTCATATAGCTGAGATGAATATTTATTTGTTTTATCAATGTAAAAAATGTAAGTTACATAAAAATATAATTTAATTACTATGAATAACCTCTAAAAACAATAGTCATGCAACATATTGCAACATACATACATACATAAAAGACATAATCGATCAATATAGCTACATTATTATGGGAAAATGAATGAGTAAATGCATTTATAAACTAAACATAACATAAACATTATTTTTGTAGCACAAAAAATCAAAGACTATTGATGATATTAGGATTAATGATTAAAAATTAACAAATAAAATTTCATATTTTAATTAGTTCGGTTTGTTCGGTTTGGTTCGGTTTTGAAGGGTAAAAACCAAAAACCGAACCAAACAACTACGGTTCGGTTCAATTTTTTACATTTGGTTTCTATTTTTAGCGGTTCAGTTTTATTTGGTCGCGGTTCGGTTTAATTTGATTCGATTTTCGGTTTTCGGTTTTCCGGACCCAGCCCTAGTTTCAAGTAGTTCTGAGAAGTTGAACCCTTCCCTATATACAACAAACAATTCAGCCTACGGTGGTTGATATGGTTGCTCATATAAAGTATATGGTGTATAAAGTTTTATTTTCAATGTATCCACTTGATAGGATAACATTCTCATTTTTGCTTACTCATCACCATTTTTTTTGTGATGGCTAGCATTAAAAAGTAGCTAGATTGCCGAGGTGTCTTTTTGTTGTTTTTGGGGAGGTGATGAGGCATCTTTACTTGAGATTGCCATGACGATATATGTTGGATGTATTGTACATATGGTGTACATAAACACTTTGGTATTACATATTTACAGTTTATCCAAAAAAAAAACAGTTCAGCCATTATGATGACTAAAATCAATTCTTAGGCTAGGCGGTGTGCAAGGCATTATACCTTATACTACCTCCGTCCCAAAAAACTTTGCCATTTCCAAAAATTTGAACCTTAATTTTGATTAGTATAAAATTATGTAAGTTATAAATTTTATACTTTTATGAAAGTACTTTTAACAAAAAACATTTTCACATAACTTTTATATTTTAAATCATTTTCAATAAAAAGATATAACCGGTCAAAGTTTTGAAAATGACAAAGTTTTTTGGGACGGAGGTAGTATTTTACAGTGATACTATGCTTATGTCGATAACATTGGCCATAGCCAAATGGCCCAAATGGCCAATTACTTAATACCTAGGAATGATACGATGTATTGCTTTCTTCACTTCAAGAATACTTGCTTTCCTGCCTTTTGAATTCTCTTTTACCTGAACAGAATTAATAATTATCAATATTCCAATTGAGTCAAGCAAAATATTTTGTTATCATATGTTTACTTCAACATCGCATGTTTCACAAATGTCTAAAGAATTTTAGGAAAATATTTGATGTCAAATAGAGTGAAGTCTTTTTAATACAAAATTTGTTTTTTGAGTTTCAGGAAAATGTTTCCATGTAACCAAATAGAACCTAAATTAAATGTTAATCACCACGCATCTGTTTATTTGTACATTGTACCTTAGCCCTCAATTCAGCAAAAAAGATTTTATTATTAAGAGAAGATTGGACTGTTGTGATTTCAAGGCCAAACTCCCCAAGCATCTGCATCACATCCAATAGTAAACCCTCCCGGTAGGCGCACCTTAGCTCCACCAACGCATCACTCTCTATGATCGAAACCTCTACTTGAACCACCATCCCCACCGCCTCCTCATCATCATCATTGTCATTCCCTCCCAACCTAGAACACATAACAGTCTTGCTGGCCCTAGTTTTTTGGGTGTGGACCCTGAGGGTTGATGACTCCAACTCTTTCACTCTCTCCCGTAACTGCTTGACGTACTCGATGGTGTCTCCGAGGATCGATGCTTTGTCCATTTTTGTGACGAAAGGAACAAGAGACCGAAGGATGATGAAGCGCTCGTTGAGCTTCTCCCTGCGACGTCGTTCTGCGAGAACGTGGTTGCCATTCGGCTCTTCTTGGTCTGTTGTGGGTTTCCAGACCTTGGATGACGGGGTAGTTGCCATGGAGTTCTTTGCATGGAGAAAAGGGACTGTGAGAAGGGTGTATTTGAGGATCAACTGGGATGAGCTAGCTTTTGTGTTTTGGTGACCAGAATGAGTGTACCACTTTGAGAAGGCAGAACTAGCAGAAAGGACGATGTAGTCATGAGTTGTGGTAGTTGGCTGCTCAGACCATTTGTGCCCAAGAATGGTTGATATTGTTTCGGAGTAGATCGTGTCCTCTTGCGGGAAGTCATCTATGTGAGGGGCTCCTGTGCAAATACATCGGAGCATTGGAGGAGTTATTCTATAGAAAATCATCAAAATTTATTCAAATTTACTAATTCGTAAGTATTCATTCGATAGACACATAAAATAGAAGTAGGAGTAATAATATAAAATAATTCTAACTTTGTGCTTTCAAGATGGGTTTTCTGTATTGCAAGCTATAAGAGGAAATAAGTGATATTGAAGGCTAACGACACTTTATGAACGAGAGACCGGAGTAGTCTTTTAGCTCATATAATCTTCTTAAGAACAAAAATTTTATGTCCACTTTCAAGAATCATAGACTAACAGAAACAAACACAATGTAGGTTTGTTGAAAGTTAAACCGATGAATATATGCACATAGTAATAGAATCACATCCAAGTGAAAACATCTTAATACATGAGTATAAGCTAAAAGTACATGTACCTTGAAGAGGTAAGCAACAAGAGCGTTTAACGCGAGGGTAAACATGTGAATCCAAATCAGTGGATGTATCATCGGGTGTTCCGAGCCTAATACTTTCAGACATGTCAAGTTGTATCATCTGCTCATTAGCCATGTTTGTTTCACCCATAATTACAGTTGCTGCCACTGGAGTGGTTTGATTTACAACTACACCATTAGCAGTTACGGTGTTGGTGCTGTTATTGTTACTGTTATTGTTACTGTTGTTGTTTTTAATGTTGTCTACTTCTGCGTCCACCATGTATTGATCAGGTTGGTTTGTAGGCCCATCAACATCTCCATTTGACTCTGAATATGCTGCTTCATCTTCCTCACCATCCTCTCCCAAATCATCATCATTGTCTTCTTCGTCATCATCATTGTCTTCTTCTTCCTTATCTTCTTCTTGTGCGTGAGCTTGTTGGTGGTGGTAAGGTGGCATGGCGGTAGAGAAGAATTGAGGCGGCTCCGATGAGGAGTGCCCAGATAACGCTGGCTTTGGATGATGATTGGGCTCCATAAAATGGTTCTTGATATGTTGGATGAATGCGTAGTTTTCTTTAACCTAAATTAAAATGATTAAGAAAAGTTACATTGTCTTAGATTGTTACAACAAATAAGAGTACTCTATTTCAACTAAAGTCTCTAAAGACTCGAATAATGATAGAGACTCGGGGAACCAGAACAAAGAAAGCAAATATTATGGAAGGGTCTATTCTAGAAGAAAGAAGTAACTGAGTAATTGTTAGTTAGAAGTCTGTTAAGAACTAATAACTACTTACGGTTGTATTGTCTTACTATAAATAGAATAGACTATTGAGTTGGAGGCAGGCGGTAATTGACTTGTAAAACTGTCCGCTTGAGAAATGTTGCCTTAGGCCATTCGGCCATTGTTGCCTGGGAAATAAAGTCGCCTTTTACGTTCTTGAATTTAGTTCTGTTAGAAATAATCTGCAGAAGCCTAACATTGGTATCAGAGAAGCCGATCTTTGTGGATGGTATTGACGAGAACAAAGATGGAATCGAGGATGAATGAATTGGATGAGAAGATGGAAACGATGTTTACCGCGCTTCAGGCGGCTATCGCCAGACTGGAAGCGCGAGGAGAAAGTCGATCGCGCAGCAGGTCGCACACATCGCGAGGAGAGAGTCGATCGCGCGAGGAGAGGTCACACGCATCGCATCGCTCATCGCATCGTTCATCGCATCATCACTCACGGCGATCGTCTGACAGTTCCGAAGGATCAGAAGGTCATCGGGAATTCGCTCAACAACACCGAAGTCGCCATCACCAGCCGATGCACAGAAAAGTTGACCTACCCTTATTCAACGGTGAAGACGCTTTTGGCTGGCTTGTCAGGATCGATCGTTATTTTCGACTCAACAATGTAGAAGAAGAAGAGAAAATTGAAGTTGCAGTAGTCTCCATGGAAGGCAAAGCTCTCGGATGGATACAATGGTGGGAGAAACAAGCAAGAGAAAGGACTTGGGAGAAATTAAAAAAAGCGCTGATTCGCCGTTTTCAACCAGAGTTGATCCAAAACCCCCTGGGTCCCTTGTTGAGTCTGAAACAAAAAAATTCAGTTCAAGAATACAGAGAACAGTTTGAATCGGCCATTGCTTCTCAAGATTATTTGGACAAGAAGGTTATGAGAGCCATCTTCTTGAATGGGCTAAAGAAGGATATACGGGCTGAACTTAAGTTGTATAAAACCAAAGATCTTGGTAAAATTATGGATAATGC